TGGCAGAGATGAACGGATGGACAGAGGAGCAGAAAGCAGTATATCTGGCAACGAGCTATAAGGGACAACCACTGGAAATACTTGGACCTCGCTGACGCAACACTGCCCCTCCTTAATATTTTAAATTTACTAATGTTTTCCATTTATACTTCTTGCCATTATTGTTGATTTTCCTGTAGTTGCTGCTGACTTTTCTGCAACTGTTGAATACTTTCTTTCTGTTTCCTTTCTTGTTCTAGTTGCCACTGCTGTAGTCTCTCTTCTTGTTTATTTTCTTTCTCCTCCAACAACTGCTGTAATTTCTCTTCTTATTTATTTTCTTTTTCCTCCAACAACTGCTGTAATCTCTCTCTTGTTTATTTTGCTGTTCGAGCTGCCATTGTTGTTGGTTTTCGTGCCACTGCTGTAATCTTTCTTCTTGTTTCTTTTCTTTTTCCTCCCACAACTGTTGTAATTTCTCTTCTCGTTCTTCTTGTTTCTTTTCTTGTTTATTTTCTCGTTCTTCTTGTTTCTTTTGCTTTTCTTGTATTGCTGCCATCAAGTCTGCTTAGCTGTAGTTTGATTTGCCGCCTCTCGTTTCCATTTTTCTTCTCTTTTTTTTCTATCCCACTCTCTGACACCAATTTGTTACGTCTCCGTTTGTTAATTAACTTTCCGTAACTTCGTTCCGACGAAACTTTAGCGACACAAGTCCTTACTTAATAAAACTGGTTTATTCTTTCTGAATATAACTTCACGATACACTTATTTTAAACAGTCGCTCTTTTACAAACGTTTTAACAACGAACGTTAACTTCAACAATACGTCTCTCTCTGACTGCAGTTCAGTTACTCATTACCTACACACACATTATTGTCCCGTCACGTTGCCACCCTGTTTTATATACCAGACTATCCTATATCTAGTAAATGCTAGAGCATTCGCCAAAGTACAGGATAGTTCTAGAAAATAGGTGGCGCCACACCAGTCACGTGTTCTCGATGACGCAACAATATTCATGATATTTACAGTGGAAAGCTGAATAGTCTAATGAGAATAATTACAGAACAATACTGAGATTACAATACCTTTTACCCAGATAACCATTGAGCTAATACTGCCTGCCTTCTGGTAAAGAATTTGCATTCCATGGGTCAGTTCTATCACCACCTAACATGGCAAAAATGCACTGAACTTTATACATAGTACACCATGGAACAAGACTGTACTTAGACATACTGTGACTTCATCCTAAACCTAAACTCATACAGTCAACTGTTCTTGGTCCCAGTCTGGTTGGTACTGGATGGTTTTCCTGCAAAATTAGTGTACCTGTTGCACAGGCAAAATTGACTGACAATGTCTACAGTTGTTCCATCCACAAGATCACATATCGGAACCAAGAATGTATCGAAGCAATTACATTCTGTGGATAATAATACCAGAATGGCATCTGTATCAACTGGCCAGAGTGATGGCTTCACTCAGAGTGCCCAAAATGTTGTAAGGTCAACCAGTATTCTGAAGCAAACACATCACTCTAGTCATAATGAAATGCATCAGAACACCATTCCAGCATTTATTTTGGTAACTAGAAGGGTGTTTTGGAATCTTATTTTGACAGTAAAAAATTTTATATGGCAAACCATGTTATAATTTAACACACGCACACATGAAAATAAAGAATATCAGTGTCAGAGCAACTTCTGATTCTGGGATGTTGTAACAGCAAACTTATACTGTCTGAACATAAAATCGAATTGAACATTAGGCACTTTTTTTTTTACTTAATGTGGTTATGCATAACGTTTTCATAGATATTATTGAACTTACACTTTCATTTATTTTCAATAAACACCATATGCGAAAAGAACAAATAAATAAACAATCCTATTTTTTAAAGTGAACTAATGCACATGGTGAATTATATGGAAAATCTGTACTTTATATACTTCTCTCACTTTGCTCCATTATACCTAAAGTGCATTGGGTTATTATTTACCCCCTTGTAGCACACACTACAATACAGTATAATTACTTAAGCAATAGTAACAGTGAATAAAATATTAAATGTTTTTCAATGTCAATAGTTTTTGACACGTTCATTGCTATGTGCCCCATCAGTAGGTCATAACATGACTTTTAGTTTTGGACCATGTGATACACTGGTGGGTCACAGACAATTATGTTTTAAAGCCAAATTCCTCTTGTGCCATACGAGTTTGGGACACTGTGACAGTTTCTTGGCACCTCTTGAATGTTTAATTATTTTTATATATTTATTTTTTTATGTTGCAACGAATGTGTTAAACATTACATTTTAGTTTCTATTTCATCAACTTATAATTTTTTGTTTTGGTCTCTTTTCTTTTAAGATTTAATTTTCAGTTAATTTTTGACTATTGTTGAAATGATATAGTGCAATTTTGGCATTCTATTTTTTTGGTGGGGGGGGGGCTTGAGCACTGATCAGACAAGAAACTCTATC